AGGATTTCCTGCACCATCCCACGTCCATCAATATAAGCTATTCCTTTTGCAGCCAGTGTCTTCTGCACTTCGGTGCAATGTTTTTTTGGACATTCCATGCACTTTGCTGAAATCAAGTAGCACTGATTTCTGTCTTTGACCTGGCACAGTGTCTCAAACCTCTCTTGCAGTGACATCAAAGCAGAGTCAACGACAATGTTGAAAAATGTTACCTCACGCCATTTGAGGGCCTATGTTTAGTGTTCCTGAGCCTTTCCTCCTTAAGCACTATATTCAGGGCATCACAAAGGTCCTTGGCAGTTGACAGAGCTTCAACAAACCCAATGTCTGTATTTGGAGAGTGAGGTTTTGGCACTCTCAGTGGGCCTGACAGCAATGTCAACCTGCATTGAACTAGACGGATGCAGCTTGTTCACCTGGTTTGTGATGTTAAGATTGTTACATCTCACAATAGTGCAAAAGATGAATCTGAGTGAGGCCACTTATTTTGCGAAAGCTTGAGCCTCTACTTTACCTACTGGATCCCTCACAGCTTACTTACTCTCCATGAGAGCTTCTCTGATTTCTTTCACTTGGTTTCTAACAGCTGTAACACTAAGCTTTCCCGTCTAACATCACTCCAAGATTTCAGCGTCAGGCTAACATGCTTGGTCAAAATGGCTCATCACTCTACCAGGACAATAAATGTTAAACGAAATCGGTGAAATCGTCGACCGTCGACACCAGTCTTTTCCTCTGCCCAGAGGCTTCTTGACTATGTCCTTGAGTCTGCTGAACTTTATTAATCCCAAAGGAAATTATTGTGGCAGAGTTTGAACAAAAGAATAACAAAAAACAATAGAATAAAATATATGAGTAGTAAACATTAAGTGTAAAATAGTTAATGCTGACACCAGTGCAAAATAGAATACAATAGCAACAAGAGCAAGGTAAAAAACAAAACAAAAAGTTAAAGAAAAAAAGAGTAAAAATCTTAAGTATATAAGAAGTATTACTAACACCAGTGCCTAGTAAAAACTGAAATAGATAAGTAATACTGAGCATGATATTGTCAATGATATTGAAAAGTAGTAAAAAGTTATTTTGCACATAGTACAGTATAATGAAAATAATATTGCACATGATATGATGAAGCTGACAGAGGTGGACCACCATCTCACTGCATGAATCTTGGACTACCTCACCAACCGTCCACAGTATGTGTGGATATGGGAGTGTGAGTCCGACCTGGTGTCTTGCAGCAGGGGGGCCTCACAAGGAACCGTTCTAGCTTCATTCCTCTTTACCATCTACACCTCGGACTTTCAATACAACTCTGCTAACTGCCACCTCATTTCCGCTGGTGATGACAAGGAATACAGGGAACTGAACCAGGACTTTATAGGATGGTGCCAGCGGAACCGCCTCCAGATCAACTCTGGTAAAACCAAAGTGTCACGATTCTGGGGCAGAGCAAAGACTCAAGAACAGAGACCAACACTGGAGACGAGGTGAAGTTGAAAACAAGGTATTTTACTGGTCACCAAAAAAAGTAATAAACAAGAACTTAAAGCGACTCCAACAGGGAGCGAGCAAAAACAAAAAAAGGCAAAGTCAAAAACCATTGAACAAACACGAGGGATCATCACGGGAGACACGAAGAGCACAAGGGGATGAACAATGACGATCTCACAACCAAAGAGCTGGTGGAGAGCAGAGTGGAAGCAGGAAGTCTCCATTACCTGCCCCTTTTAATGAATCATACATCACTCATAAGACCCTGAATTGATTTAACCAAAACAGGTCAGCAGTGACCTGAGAATTAGCAATGCGATGGATCTGATACTACTTCGATATACGATGTACATGATGTCACTTATTAGAATACAATACTGTGAGCAATTACAAAAGCAATGAAAATGTATCAGATAGCCTATGACAAAATGAGAATCTGAACCACTTGTAAAAATAGAATGGATATGGCGCTACTTACCAGATATGACTATATAACGCCACTTACCCGATATGATTGATATGACGCCACATATCCGAAGACAATTAATATGGCAATTGCAACACAAGTAGTTATTAGCAAAATACAATGGTTTTAAGTAAATGGCAAAATAGATGAATATAATACCTGGATGTGAAGAATTAGCTTAATATTAGTTATTAGCTGAATTATAAACAGATCCTATGAGTTATCTTTGACTGGAATTACTGGATATGAGGAACCAGTGAGCAGCAAAATAGCTATTGAGCCAACACACCACCACCAGTTATTTGCATGCAACAAGAATGTGAGCAGGAATGATTACGGAAGACTTTAGATGCTTAACAATGCAGCAGATGATAGCAGCCAAAAAAATGAAAGTAGTAGCAGTAGCAAAAACTCAACACCAGTTAAAACATGACTTACAAGGGATTTAAGGCACACTTAAAGAAGTATGGGCAGAGCCTGAACAATCAATTTATCTATACTTATTGTATAGAGCAGGTCAAGACGGAACTCTACAGGGACCCGACATGAGATTCCCCCATGATGCTGCAATAAATGCAATTCCACTTAACAAATCACCCAATGATGCCGCTGCAACAATTGTGATTCCGCTAACAGATCCCAATGCTGGAACGTATATGATTCCGCTAACAGATGCTCACTGCTACCGCTGCAACGTATGCAATTCCACTAACAGATCCAGATGCTGGTGCTGCAACACATGTGATTCCGCTAACAGATGCTCAATGCTGCAACGTATGCGATTCCGTTAACAGATGCTCAATGCTGCAAACGTATGTGATTCCGCTAAAAGATCCCCCGTGCTGCTGCAATGTATGTAATTCCACTTGACAGATCATCAAGTGCTGCTGCTGCATTAAATGCGATACCACATGACAGAATAAAGTTACCGGCATGTGAGGTCATGAAGACTATGATGCAATGACTGGGGTTACGATAGGTCAACACTGAGATTAAACCTCTTTTACGGTGAGATCTAGCCAAGACAGCGTCATATAGCAGCATCCAACACTATGAGGACACATTAGACCATGATGCAGTGTACGAGGTCTCCACAGACCATAATACATTGGCAGTGATCCACTTACCAGAGTACGACAGATAGGAGGAATTGGCACTGTACCTACTGTGAAATATGGAGGAGGCTTTGTTATGTTCTGGGGCTGGCACAGGGTGTCTTGAATCTGTACAGGGTACAATGAAATCTCAAGACTATCAAAGTATTCTGGAGCGAAATGTGCTGCCCAGTGTCAGAAAGCTTGGTCTCAGTCGCAGGTCATGGGTCCTCCAACAGGATAATGACCCAAAACACAGCTAAAAACACCCAAGAATGGCTAAGAGCAAAACATTTGACTATTCTGAAGTGGCCTTCTATGAGCCCTGATCTAAATCCTATTGAACATCTGTGGAAGGAGCTGAAACATGCAGTCTGGAGGAGGCACCCTTCAAACCTGAGACCGCTGGAGCAGTTTGCTCACGAGGAGTGGGCCAAAATACCTGTTGACAGGTGCAGAAGTCTCATTGAGAAATACAGAAATCGCTTGATTGCAGTGATTGCCTCAAAAGGTTGTGCAACAAAATATTAAGTTAAGGGTACCATCATTTTTGTCCAGGCCATTTTCATTAGTTTTCTTTTTTTATTATTCTGTTGAACCATAATTCAAAAGCAATGTCTGATTTGTATTAGTTAATTTTCAATACATTTTTATATATTATTACTTTTGTCAGTTTCAAGTTATTTCAGTGACCATTGTGGGTTTTTCTTTCTTTAACGGAAGGATACCAACAATTTTGTCCACGTGTGTATGTACCACCTGGGTTGGCTGGGGCCCCCTACTTCTAGGTTATAAAGAAGTAGGTAAGCTGCAGCAACTAACCTTTAGTCAGTCTGGATCAGTGTGGTTGGGGCGATGTTATGTCCCAGCAGGATGTACATTCATCGGGCTCCACCTACTTTACCCATAGAGTCCAGGAGAGGGGGGGAACATAGTGAATTACAACTTAGGTTACAATATTGTAATCCAAGATCTGTAAGTACAGGCGGAGCCCTAAACCAAGGTGGCCCTGCCACTCCTACGCCACTTGCTGAAGAGGGGTAGGATAGCTTGGCAGTGGGGTGTGCTGCATTATATACTGTGGGCTCCACTCGAATATGGGTACTGATTGGCCAGCCATGTTTATGAAAATGTTCAGTGTGTGCTCCTGATTGGAGGACAGTTTTACCCATAGAGTCCAGTAGAGGGCTCTAACTGTGCTTATAGAACTAGGGTTACAATATTGTAACCTTTGCTCTCTTTAAACACCATACTAGCACCCCCTAGAGGCCACGAAGGAGTTACATTAACCTGATCTAAAGCAACAGTACCACTAAGAGGCCTTTGGTCTCCTGAGCAGAACATGAAATGGTGACCAGTCAAACAATAGTAAAAAGCAGATACACAACATACTTGATGTATATCTTAGGACAAGTATTTGTTGACGTAAAAAACCTTTGTATTGTCAAAAAACAGTGAATTGTACCTTTAACTTCTGCTCATACAAATGAAGTTAACATTAACCATCAATTTGTTTTCAGAAAACACAATTATATTGTTTTTTCACTACAGTAGTCATTCAAAATAGCATGAATTAATTGTTCTGCCTTTTTTCTTGAATTTTGTGTCGTATTGAATTTTCTAGCATGCTCAGAATACTGTTGTACTGCATGTAATGAATACATTTGTTATTTCCACAATAGCATTCCCACTTAAAAAGCTTTATACAGTAAATATTAAGACACAAAATAGTATTAATAATATAGTAATACCTTTGGGCAATCAGTGTCCATTTCAATTTGCAATTTATAGACCACTAGACTAGGAAAACCTAAAGGCAACACACATACAGTGTTGGGAGACGTGGGAGGGGTGAGGGAGGAGACAGGTTTATCGTCCTCGACGCTGTTGTCCTAATCCGTTCTTAGAGGATAGAGGCTTAGTGGGACCTCAGGTTAGGTTGACCACAACTATTGCCTCAGAGAGAAACATTCAAACAGCCAAGACCTTCTATGTATGTACAGTTTTTTTATATACAGCTATTTATGTCACCTTCTCTGGCTCTGACAACTCTCTGTCGGTCAAATCTCCAGGATTAATTGAATTAGCTAGTCATTTCCACTGGGCTAATTTGGAGGACATTTTAGTAGCTGCCGTGGGCTAGAGAAAGCATCACAGACTCCTCAAGATGAAGGACCGACTGGCACAGCTGAAAGAGGTAGGCAGAATTTGTTTACTCATTGTCATATTTTCCCTGAGGAGCACTTGTTGCTAGCACAGGCCCTACTGTAACTGCTACAAGCCTGTAATATGAATGTAACGTTACTGTATGTGTGGAGGCACTGTTGGTCAGTCTGGAAAAGGCCAATTTTTCTAATGACAGTTAAGAACAGCTTGCTACCATTCCACATTTAGCCATTTACCTTATATCATCAAACAATGGCGTATTTCACAAAATATATCTTATGAATATAATCATAACACTATACTATGTTTTAAAGCAGATAGGTTTATAGTCATAAAGCATATGTCAACTATAATATTAAGTAAAACCTGGTTATATTATATAAGGGTGAGTAGTTAAATAAGATTAATTCACTGTTTAGTTTCAGACATGCAGGCAGTAGCACGTGCGAGTTAAGCATTCATGTAACGTTAACCCGCACGTCACAGTGGCACGCATGTAGCTGCACATAAACTGAACCACCGTGAGTAGGGTCAGCCATCTTTCAAATCTCCATTAAATCATGTTGAATGACTGGGATCTTGGGGAAAACACAATTCAGTATGAACAGATGCCCATGTTATCATATCCCAGAGATACAATATGTAGCTTGGATCTAGAACAAGGATGGCCAAACTTTTTTTTATTGTGGGCCATATACAGAAAAATATGGGGAATCACAGGCCAAACAATTGTGAATGTGTAGTCTTCAACCAGTTATGCTGCAAGAAAATCAGTGTTTCTAGACCAGGAAATCCTATGTGAATTCGAAAAATAAAAACATTTTTAAGAATAATTAAAACACTAAACAATTATCATTTGACATAACAATAGCAGTTCATTGGTGTGCCATATTACAAAAAGTATGTCCATATCTGCTTCTCTAAGGTAACAAAAACACAAAGATTCTTCATTTCTGGTCCCTGTCAGAGATAATTTCAAAATATGCTCAAGCCATTTGTTAGTATATAGATTTTTTTATATTTCTTACAGCCCTTTTTTAAAAGGAGCAGTGGGCCCCAGTGTGTCCCCAGGCCGAACAAGAATATTACTTTAGGACCCTATTTTAAAAAGATGTTGTATCGTTTGCTTTCTGTATTTGAAAGATATTGAACTTACTAAAATCTTCTAGTTATTCTGAGCTACCCGTGTATATTTCATCTTCAAGTTCAGTATTCTTTCTTTAAATGTGTGTGTTTAACAGAAGAGTGATGCTGGAGGCGATGACATTGAGGTTCCTGTGGAGAACGAGGCTTTCATGGATGATTTCTTTAATCAGGTGTTCTATTTGTGTCAGTCGGTTATTCCTCACATTTCCATAAGAAAATGTATTTCTTGCTTACTGATGAAAGTGTGTGTGTGTGTGTGTGTGCGCGCGCGCGTATAAGGCTGAGGATATCCGCAGCAGCATTGACAAGATTGACGAGAGTGTTACAGAAATAAAAAAACTCTACTCCACCATCTTGTCAGCCCCCACATCTGAGCAGAGTAACAAACATACATATTCAGCTTCAACTATATTACTTTCAGTTACTTGTTACCGTTTTATAATCTCCCTCTGCTCTCCCTCTCTTATTCAGAAACACAAGATGACGTTGAAGCCCTCACCAATGAGATCAAGAAGTCAGCAAACAATGCAAGAAACAAACTTAAGAGTCAGTATTTGTTCTTTACACACCTACCTTTTGGTTTTGCTGATTTTTAACCTTGGAAGAAAGTAGTTCCCATGTTTAAACAGCATAAAGTTGGTATAAACAATGGATGAGTAGAAGAGTTTTTCCAAGCGTTATTCGAGTCAAGAAAATTTTACTCAACTCGTGCTAAACGTGTACATACATTGTATAAGAATGATGCGATGTGTGAGAGTAAATCAGCAGTCTGCTGCAAACTCATGTTTGAGTAAACAGAGTATACTAATACTAATTATAATCCATAAATATTTCTGTGTGTGTGTGCGCGCATTAGGTATTGAGCGCCAGCTTGAGTCAAACACAGATGAGAGGGCCTCCGCTGACCTCAGGATACGCAAATCACAGGTCAGACAATATTAGACATTAAATTAAGTTTACTTGACCTATATTCTGTAGTAAATAGAACTGGTGCTCAAAGTTAAAGGTTTAGTTTACACATGAGTGTAAGGTGGAAGTTCCCAGCCCTCCTCCTGTCTTGTAGAAGGCTGAGAGACACCAGCAGCAAGACCACAATGCCAAGCATTCCTTTCGTTCTGTGTAATATTCATATGTATTAACCATTTGGACCAATACTTATATACTGTATCGATACAGAGCCTTAGAGAAAAGATCAGTTCCTTTACAATCACTATCCACTCTCCTTTTGTTGTTGGTTCTATGCCTAGCCATTCTTAGTTATTGTAACGGGTTGTATATGGACCCAAATGCAACACAGGATTCCAGAGATCTTTGGCTTTTATTGCTAACTTCAAATATAGCAGGCAGAGTTCAAACAGGGTCAGGATCAGAAGGCTGGTGGGTTTACCGGGAGTCAGGCAAGGCGGGTAAAACAGGGGCAGGCAGGGTTTCCAGATACGGCAGGCAGAGTTAATCAAGATCAGGAGGCGGGTGGGTTTACTGGGAGTCAGGCAAGGCAGGTAGAACAGGGGCAGGCAGGACCGGTAACAGGAGAGCAGTCCGTGAGAGTGTGCTGGAGAGTCTGGCAT